TCTCCCGGCCGCACACCTTCCTCCCCCCCCCCACGCCTCGCATGTCGGCGTCGAGGCCCAGGGGCGGCCCAGGGTGAGCCGCTGACCCGGCGGCGGAGAGCTCGCTGCCGTCGCATCCCGGGCCGTGCCGGTGAGCGAAGCATTGTGGCCTGTGTTCACGGGCACGAGCAAGCCCTGGTTCGCAGGGAAGGTGCCCCCCGGATTCCTGCCAGCCTCCCGGGTTGGAAAGAAAAGGTTGGGTAAGACCTGGCGGTCAGGTGAGGAAAGCTCAAATTCACGGCGTGAAAGAACCACGAGAGAAGCCTCGACGCTCGGACTTGGTTGCCATCTGCCTCAAAACTCGGTAGAGGGGCTGGTGTCAGTGCCTCACGTCTGGCTGTTGAACAGCCTACCGTTAACTTGCAAAAATTAGTGTGTAATCTCAAAAAAGAACACGTGCAAGTGTGTGGTGCACCAAACACAGAAAACCTGTGGTGTCCAGTGCTCCCATTTATTTTGCTTTTCATTCATTGCCCTGTTATGAAAAAGCATGGTGCGTGTTCCTCCTGCATTTGCGTTTAAAATGCCGTATTATTTTAGAAGATCTCCATAATACATACAACTATCAGCCTCGGCTGCCGAGTGGAGGGCGGGTGGAAGACTAGTTATGCATTAGAAAGCCTGATGCCAGAGAAGTTACTCATAAAATTGAGTATTGATTAACTGTCCTGAAGGGACGGATACCGTGGTTTCACAGTAGTCTGTGCTGCTATTCTACTAAGAGGTCCTAACTTGTCTCACAGCAAATGGTTTTTTTTTTTTTTTTTTTTTTAGTTGGGATAAGTTTCCTGATCTGGCTGTCTGGATGGGGCAGTAGCGAGGAGGATCAGATGAGATGCAGGAGAATGGGGCTGCCGATGGCAGCAGTTCTGGTTTATGCTGGTTTAAAGTACTTGTGAAAACACAGCAAGGTGTAGTAGCAGGTGTGAGCCGTTGACAAAAACCTGTTTCTCTGGTGTTTTGACTTCAGCAAAGTAGAACATGTCAAAATAGAACATGAAAGTAAATATTGTTTCATTGTTCATGAACACATACACTGATGTAGTCTGCTGACATTGTCTTCAGAAATTTATTAAGGAGCCTTACTAAGCAGACAGTTTTTGAAGACCTTTCTGTTTGTGTTGCATATACTGTAGCACTTTTGAAAGACAGGTTTTGACACTATGATTTCAGGGGTACGGTTTCTTATTAAGAAAGAAAATCTGCACTAGGGGTATATCAGACAAATAACAAAGGTTTAAAGTAGTGAGTGGAAGCAAACTTGCTTTTTGTGTTGCTACTGGTTACGTATATGGCCCTTTAAGAGCATTTACATTAAAAGAAGGTAAGAGTGAACAGGTTAGATTTTAAGCCAGGTGTGTCTAGACTCCCAAGCAGGCACCAAGTTATACTATGGTTGGAACAGTAAAAAAAAAGAGATGGACAAAAGTGCAATTCTCTTTTTGTAACTGACTGTTTTTTGGGTGGTTTTTTTTTTTTTTTGCAGACACAGTGATCATCGGAGGTGGTTGCGTTGGTGTGAGTCTAGCCTATCACTTGGCTAAGGCTGGCTTGAAGGATGTTGTTCTGCTGGAAAAATCTGAGCTCACTGCAGGATCTACTTGGCATGCAGTAAGAAATGTTTTATTAATCTCTCAGATTAACAGCGGTTTGTGTATCTAATGGTGGTGTAAATTTCATTACCTTTATATTCCCTGGCTTTCCAGAGATTAACTACCTTGGTTATTTTATAGATACAAACATTAGCACTGAGTTCTTTACAGATTGGCTGTGTGAGCTTTGAAAAGTCGGTTCAGCTCTCCGTAGTACACTTTTCTCGCGTAAAAATTGGGACAAATACTGTATTTTGAAGTTACTGGAAGGTAACTGTTAGCATTATTATACATTTTTGGCAGTTAATTGGATTTAGACTTTAAGCCTTATTTCAGTTTGGACTTTTTAAATCCAAGGTTTTATTTCTAAGGTAACCTATGCTGCAGGCTTTATCGTTGGAAGTGGTTGCACTGGCATGCATAAATCAGAAATGTGAAATACGGCATTATTGTATCTGTAATTACTTTTTATATATGTGCCATCCTGAAAAAGAGGTGAACAAGAAGCAGCATCAGTGTCCAGTTCTCACAGAACAGCACTGTCCCAGAAACTGGTTATTATTAGAGAGAAGAGCTTTCTTTCCTGCCACTGCTGGCATTAGACAGAATTGTGAAGGAGCAAAGCTAACAACTGTACACTGCGGGGTTTTTTTAAGGCTGAATGTTTGTCTGCACTCTAAAGAAAAGAACACAATGGCATACATGTAGTAACGACATGGTGGGGACACCGCCTATAATCATGCTAGTCACATGGACATACTGGTGCACAACATGCATGTGTGTAATTACATATTTTCTATGTCAATATCTGGAGCAGGCAGTGTAACGAAATGAAATAAAGCTTGCCACAGTAATAGATGCTTTTTCCATTCATTTCCAGCTATGCTTAGCTGAAGTTGGGAGAATGTTATCCCTGTGTGTAACAATAGAAAAGAGTAAAAACCCCACAGTTTGCTGTCGCTAGAACTACTGTGTAAATAGAAAGGAACATTTATGCAATACTGGTACTATAGTTACCATTTATGAACATTTATGCAATACTGGTAACTATAGTACCTGTGCACCTTTCAGGAACAAATTGAGGAGGATGACACAGATGGATTATATTTGATTTATATTCTCATACTTCTCCCAGGGGAGGAAGTCTGAAGTTTGAAATGCTTTGTCTTTGTGCAGCTGTTTTGTGTGTTTGGGGCCTTATGAGAAAACAATAGTAAAAAATTAGATTAAAAAAAATCACTGCCTGAAATGTATAAGTAGGTTTATACTTCATTTTACTTGCTTTTCAGCAAACAAAGCAAAAAGAAAACACATTGTATGGAATTAGGAAAGCCAAAATTCAGTAATTACGTCTCTTTTAGACAGTCATACCACAACTGATGCAGTTCAGTGAACAGAGCGGCACCGTTCATAGTGTCAGATCGTGCATCTTATGTATTGTAACTATGAAATGATCAAAGAAATACTTTCTCTTAAGTACATGAGTGAGGCACAGACTGAATTCTATTTGCCCAATGCGTATACAGAATGATATGCCTGTAAAAAATAATAAAAATCTCTTCACAGAATAAGAAACCAAAATCTTCAATGGAGGATTGTTGCTAAAGGTTTCCTTTGTTCTTGTTATACTCAGTCTAGCTTGTTGCTCGTAACTGTGTAAAAGCAACATCTCCTTCAGTATTTTTGCCCCCACTTCATAATGAGTGCAGAAATGGAGCACTGATTGAGGAACTCTGTTTCAAAGTTAGGGAGGGACCTGGAGTGCAGCAGAGAAAGTGCCTGCGCTACCACTGCTGAGAGGGCTGCCTTGTGGCACCTGTTGCAACAGAATTTGATGCGATTAACACAGCAAGGCATGTAGTTATGGGACAGGTTAAAATTGATAACTCTTAGGTAAACTGCATGGTATACTGTCTCTTTTCATTGAACTCAGTATTAAGAGCGCTGTGTCTGAAGATGAAGAAGTTGTATCACAGTGATACAGTGCTAGATACAGATGAAAATCACACATATAGTTAGTACGTGAAATGGCATGTAATATATTGCCTGCAGCCACAAATGTTGAAAGTCTGGTTCAGGTGTTGCTGCACTATACCACATTCTCCTGCTTTCACAGTCCAGTAAGTCCTGCCAGAGCTCAGGATCCTGTTTCATATAGATCGGATTCCTGCTAGCATTGCTGCCAAAATTTTATTCCACTTCTCAAGTCTGAGATAAATTTGACTAACTTTCATATGTGTTATTAAAACAGCACAGAAAGTGTGCACATTTTTGTGTTACCAGTAGTAAGAAGATACAAATAACAGAGCAAGTGCTGCTCATTTTATACCAATCTAACCATGACAAATGAGTGGTTATTACAATGTGTGTAAATTAGGTCAAGACTTAAGCTTTAAGAACTTTAGGAAGTTGTGCTGTTCTGCAAGTTAGATTGTTTGTGATCTCACTGAAGCCCTAGGGATGGAATAAGGTGTGTATAACTCAGCAAATTTTTGTGTTGTTACTTTTTAAAAAGGTGTTTTCTAAGAAAATATTTATCATATTCTGTTATGTGATACTTTTTCTTGCTACATGCAATGGATTTTGCTGCTGACAGTTAATTAAGCAGAGCACAAGACAGATAAAAACTTGTAACAACTTGATCAGAGTTGCAAGGAGAGAATGTAGGGTATAACAGTGTTAATAACATTTTCCTCCAGAATCCTAATTTAATAATGGTGTTAGTACAAATCTGAAACAGACTGGAATAGAATGAAACTGATAGACAAAGATTTCAACATATAAAAATTTCAGCTATCAAAATGATTTGAAATCTCTGGGTCAATTTTCATAGCAGAGTGGCTATTCTGAAAATTATTTTCCCAGCTCATGTTCACCTACGGTAACAAAATCTCTGTCTTACAAAAACAGAGCAAAACCTAGAGAAAATCTTCTTGAAATACAAGTTTTAACTAGAGATTCTGCAATGAAACAGCCCTGGGTTTTAGTCTGAGGTAATTAAAATAAATGTATTCACAACAACATAAAAGCGCACGTATCGAATGAGATAAAAAATGCATTTAGTCAAGTATTTTGTCTCCAGCAGTGCCCAGTACAATGACAATCTGATATGATAAGAAGAAAATTACAAGCAGTGTTTTTCCAGACTGTTAATTTAGCCCAGGGACTTGCTAAATCCAACATGCCTGTTTTGTGCTTAACGTGGCCCTTCGTAGATTTATCTCCCTTCAACAGACTTGTGTGATCACTTTTTAAACTCAGATTGTTGAGATAATGAACAATACCAAACATACTAAGGGAACTAGAGCCAAATTTCTGATTAAAGTACAGACGCAACTGAAATATATAATACTGGTATATGACTAATTTTGCACTTTTTTCCATTGGCTTATTTTGGCATTTCAGTTGTGTTGTACATGATGGTATTGTATATAAGCTTTAAGATGTGACAAAGATAAAATCCTCACAAGGAAAGGCAGGAAAATCTTTTAAAAGTTATCATACTCTTGCTCTGAAGATATTGAGTACCTGTCATCTGAGGCAGTGTGTATGATTTATGTTTTTTGACAGAAGTGGTATCTGAGTGTGAGGTATTTGCTAAAGTGCCATTTGAAGTTTATTGTTTCTGAAGAAAAAGATCTGGTCTTAAAAGTGAAGCTGCATGAAGAAAGATGGGTCAGAGAGGCCGTGGTTTAAAAAAAATGAGGATGTGTGATCTAATTCATGCAATATGTGTTGATATTAATTGTAGAGAAGCATAACGTTTAGTAGGTTCTTAACATAATTAAATTAGTTCTTAGCATAATTAAATTAGTTTGAATTAAAATGTATCTTTAAAGATCACTAAATCTTGCTTTTGTTATTCATATGTATACAGTTATTCCATCAGCTTTAAAAGTAAAAGCCTGTAAAATATGTAGTACAGAACAGAGTTGGCAAGTTAAAATCAAGAGTAGTTAATATGTACACATATTGTGCAACTTAGAAGGAAACTACTCAACTTTACTGTGTAACTACTCATGCTCTAGTGTATGTGTTACTTTTCACCTTTATATTTCTTCCTGTTTTTTTCCCAGAATGGCAGTGATCTCAAAGGTGGACTCTGGTGCCTAGCTCCCTTAACTGAAGCAACCTTAATCTGTGGATAAGCTCTACTTTAGTTAGCCAAATATGCACTAGATGTATATATATATGTAAAGTATCTAAATCAGTGTAGTTACTTATCTTGAAAACCTGAGGTAATTTTGCATTTCTGTTGTCTTAGTTGGAAGAAGGCTTTTAGTGAGATGTCAAATTCAGGAGATACAAAGATATATGCTAAACTACAGTAGCACTTTAATTCTGCTGTTTTTAAGTGCCAAATGTCTGCAGTTATGAGTGTCATTAGATTGATGCAGCTGTCTCTGTTGTAGGCAGGCGAACAGTTTCCTTAAATATAGAAGAGGTTGTACTAACTTCTTGATTTTACCTTTGCATGAACCCAGAAGGGCTCAACAGCTTTCTAAAGTGAGACCTGGTAAAAGATGTGCAAAATATGTATAGTAATTTCTTAAGCTGCTTCTGGACCTGCCTGGACAAGGTCCTGTGCAGCCTGCTGTAGGTGACCCTGGTTCGGCAGGGGGGTTGGGCTAGATGACCCACAGAGGTCCAACCCTGAACATTCTGTGATTCTGAAATGCAGCAATTCCTCTTTAACTGCCACATGAGACAACTGTTGAGAACAGAAGAATACTGACTTACATTGCCCTGCTGTTCATACCCCAGGAAAGTAATAACTCGTGTTACAATCTGGTCTTTGTGAAGGTTTGGTTTCTTTCCCAGCTCCATTTGCAAGAAGGAAAAGATCCTACTACAGGACATTTAGAGTTAATCAGTTGATTTAGTTGGTCAGGAATGGACTTGTGTGTCTTTTCCAAAAGATCTGAAACAGACAACTGAATAATTTAAACCATAGGACAGAAAAACTGCAACAGTATCATGGGTTGACAAATTTGATGAGAAAAGACAGGTGGAAAACACATGTACAGAGAACAAGAATGCCATGAACTGCGAAAGGATTTTATATTTTTGTAGCAGGTGGCTCTTTCCATGTGTTGCTTTTCTGTGCAGTACCTTGACAGTTCATTTTTGAATGACAGTTGGAAGGAGGGAAAGAAAACACAGCATTTCTAATCACATCTCTGTGTTGTTGTTCCTATTTCTTATTTGAGGCTGGTTTAACTACTTATTTTCATCCTGGAATAAACCTGAAGAAAGTCCATTCTTACAGCATCAAACTCTATGAAAAGCTGGAAGAAGAAACTGGACAGGTAATCCTTGGAAGTATTAATTCAGATGAATACTAACCTTACTAATAGTCTTACAAAAAAGTTTGGAGTTGACAAGTTGTATATATGTGTGTAGATGACTATCATAAGGCTCCGTTTTTATTTAAATAAATTCTGCTGCTTGCATGTCTATGCTATAGTCTGGTGCTTAGTCATGAAATATTTTAGATGGCTTCCCAGATGATCTGCAACTTCTGCTTGGTATGGGAGTTAAAATAGCATCACGGATCTGTAATGACGGATTAGATTGCTGCAATTCTTCCCCTCCCTTTCAGAGATGTGTTTTTATTTAGTGACTTAAGGAATGGGTATGCAGAGAAACATGGAAGTCATCTTTTTTATCTGGCATCACTCAGCCATATAGATTTCATTTACTAAACTTTTGCTTGCTTCAGACTGCAGCAGAAGTTGCAGGATCCTTACTGTACTAGTCTACAAACTTGGTAATTGTAATAAAACACGTTTTTGTTCTTGCTGCTGCTCAGCTAGATAAGATATTACAGGACATTATCATTGTGAGTTCCACTAAGACACTTACTCAGTCACGTTAATGTCATGTGAGGTAACATAGAAAAGGTGATGTGGGTAGTGTATACCAGAAAGTGGGCATTCAGTGCCCAGCTATATAAGGATTTCTACTTTATTAAAAAGACCAAAAAGGTGTGTGGTTATTCGTTGTGTCAATAAAGGTGCTTAGTCAGTTAAATTTAATCTGCAGCATCTCAATAGAAAATTATGCAGGTGACAGACTTTAATATAAGCTTTTACCTATTTATTTTTCAGATGTATCTGATTCTATTTTTGAAAGTGCATGAGTGCATAAATTCAAATATTAATCAAATTTTAATAAAAATAATAGTATAATGACATTCAGTACAAGATTTTTGCAACTGTTTCGAAGATAGTATGTGTTAACCTAGTGAGTTAATTTGATAACTTCTAAAAAATTTTATTTTTCTCTAGGAGTTTACATCTAATCCCTGTTCCTTCAAGGGCACTGAACTTATCTGAATCTCTTTTCAATGACTTTAGTGACAAAATTCCTGTAGACTTCCCATAGAATGGGAGCATGCATTTATGGAGGTAAGTGAAGGTTCTTTCAATAATTCACTTTAGCTCTTTGTTTTAGGCGGTGGGGTTTCATCAGCCTGGCAGCATCAGAATTGCTTCAACTCCTACTAGAGTGGATGAATTCAAATACCAAATGACTCGTGCTGGTTGGCACCCAACAGAGCAGTACCTAATCACACCTGAGAAAGTACAAGAGCTGTTTCCCTTATTGAACATGGATATGGTAAAGAACGTAATTTTGTAAAAAATAACTTCCACTGGAGTTAAATATTCATCTTTCAGATGTGTAGATATAAGGTCTGTTTCCTTCATACGAAATGTATAAGAAATTATTGGTTTTCAGTGAAAAAAATATGCACTATAAACTAAAGTGACTCACATGCATTTTAGTGCATACTGTATATCAGTGTGCATAGAAATATTTATAATATATACAATATTATAATATTAAAGCATTGCAACCTGTGATTGCATGGGAGAGCTGATCAGTTTTACTTCCTTAGACCATTGCTGAGTTGGATAGCTGTAGCCCTGATATTATTACATATTTTGAAAATTTGGTTTGACTCCTTAAGGCTTACTACATTCAAGAAATACAGCGCTTTTAAGAAAATTAGTTGATAAACTTTAATTTCTTTCACTTTGTGGCATTTTACCTCCACTTAGGTTTTAGCTGGCCTATATAACCCTGGAGATGGTCATATTGATCCCTATTCTCTCACTATGGCCTTGGCTGCTGGAGCCAGAAAATACGGTGCCCAGTTAAATTACCCTGTCCCAGTGACTAATCTGAACTTCCGATCAGATGGGACGTGGGAAGTTGAAACTCCACTTGGAGAAATTCAAGCAAAGAGAATTGTGAATGCTGCAGGTAGGATTTAGATACACATTTGTATACTTTTCAGATTTACAAACTAGGTGACATGGAGCTTCTGTACTGAACTGTGTGGATTACAGGAATAAGTAACCTATGTTTTTGAACATTCACTTGGTTTGTGGTAAAATGTACTTTGCACAGAATGCTTTACAGTATAGTGAAGATTTAAGTGTTGTCTTAGTTGTCTTTGACTAGGTGTTAAAAATACTTCTTTCTGGTTTGTCTCCAGCAGTTGCTAGTCAGACTGTCTTGTGAGATTTTCGTAGCAGAAGAGACCTTTACTGGTCTACAGTAAGTTGTGTAGAAGAGAGGCTACTGTCTATGCATATTGTCCTCTAAAATCTTATGAAAGCTAAGTAGGAAGGGAGATGGGATATACAAATCAAGTAACAATATCTTCACTGTTTTTCCAAAGAGACTTGAGGATTTCCAGAAAGTAAGGTAACCCTGCCTGTTTCAGCATTATTTTTGTGTGAGAATGAGCTCTATCCACATGTCGTGAAATAGATTTTTATTGCCCTTTGAGTAGTATTTTAAACATGCACTTGGCTTAATACATTTTTTGATGTAATAAAAATTTCCAAACTCAAAGGAGCTTGTATTTACATGTGCAATATTTATTCCTCATTGTGTTAAAGAAGCCAGACGGATGTTTCTGCTTCAGAGATCTTTTGGGCAACAGTGCTTTGGTTTCTGTTTGTTTTCCTAAACAAGTTGATAGGTTTAAAAACCTGTATTCAATCTAAATGTCTCTTATTTTTATGCTGCTTTATACAAGTTACGGAAAAATACATTTTTGGTGAAACTGTTGGCACCTAATTCCTAGAAGAAGACTTTCTGTTTTCATTTGTTTGCAAACTTGCTGAATATTTACTATTTGGATGAATTTTTTGCGGACTGTCTGTCTCAAACTGAATCATATCTGCATTTTTAGGGCATGAGTCTTGCATAGATCCCATCTCAGTGATTGATCAAGCTTCAGTAGAAAGCTGTGATGGCTGAAGAGGACTATCTCCTCTTGCTCAGATGGGACAAGTGAACTGAGAGCAAGGATATATCATTACAATTCCTTTCTACATCTGTGCAGTGGAAAGGAAAAAAACATCTATTTCTGGTACAAAGCAGATAAAATGAAGTTGTTCAGTGAGACAGGGACTCTTCTTTTTGGTGGCTAGAATAACCATGGCTGACAATTTGATTTATCAGTGAAGTGGACTGGAAGGGGAATACACTGGAAGAATGGTACTTGGGAGAGGTTTCTGGAGGTGCTTGGGAGCACTGGCAGCAAGCAGAACACTTACGTGCTAGACGACTTGCTGAATAAGGATGCTCAAACCCAGAGCAGCTGTGGGGATGGCAACAGTGGGGATGACACCTCAAAGAGGGATGGTGGAAAGGGATCTGACATGTTTCACAGAATCACAGAGTGGTAGCGGTTGGAAGGGATCTCTGGAGATCATCCAGTCCAACCCACTGCCGAAGCAGGTTCACCTAGAGCAGGTTGCACAGGACCGCGTCCAGGCAGGTTTTGAATATTACCAGAGAAGAAGACTCCACAAGCCCTCTGGGCAGCCTGTTCCAGTGCTCTGTCACCCTCAAAGGAAAGAAATTCTTCCTCATGTTCAGACGGAACTTTCTATGCTTCAGTTTGTGCCCATTGCCCCTTGTCCTGTCACTGGGTACCACTGGAAAGAGTCTGGCTCGATACTCCTGACACCACCCTTAAGATATTTGTAAGATCACCTCTCAGCCTTCTCTTCTTCAGGCTAAACAAGCCCAGCTGCCTCAGCCTTTCCTTGTAGGAGAGATGCTCCATTTGCCTCATCGTCCTTGTAGCCCTACACTGAACTCTCTCCAGTAGTTCCTCATCTTGCTTGAACTGGGGAGCCCAGAACTAGATGCAGTACCCCAGATGGGGCCTCACTAGGGCAGAGCGGAGGGGGAGGAAAACCTCCCTTGACCTGCTGGCCACATCCTTCTTAATGCACCCCATTGGCCTTCTTGGCAACCAGGGCACCACGCTGCTGGCTCATGGTCAACTTGTCATCCACCAGGACACCCAGGTCCCTCTCCGCAGAGCTGCTCTCCAGCACGTCTACCCCAAAGCTGTACTGATGGATGGGGTTGTTCCTCCCCAGGTGCAGGACCCTGCACTTGCCCTTGTTGAACTTCATCAGATTCCTCTCTGCCCAGCTCTCCAGCCTATCTGGGTCTCGCTGGATGGCAGCACAGCCTTCTGGTGTATCCACCCCTCCTCCCAGTTTTGTGTCATCAGCAAACTTGCTGAGGATACACTCTAACTCTTCATCTAGGTCGTTGATGAAGAAGTTTAACAAGACTGGGCTCAGTACTGACCCCTGGGGGACCCCACTAGCTACAGGCCTCCATAGAGTCTGCACCGCTGATGAGAACCCTCTGAGTTCTGCCATTCAGCCAGTTGTCAATCCACCTCACCGTGCACTCATCCAGCCCACACTTCCTGAGCTTCCCTAGGAGGATGTTATGGGAGACCGTGTCAAAAGCCTTGCTGAAGTCAAGGTAGAAAACATCCACTCATGTACCCAGCTGGTCATGCCATCATAGAAGGCTACCGCACTGGTCAGGCATGATTTCCCTTTGGTGAATCCATGTTGACTACTCCTGATACCCTTCTTTTCCTCCAGTTGCTTAAAGATGACTCCAGAATGAGCAGTTCCATCACCTTTCCCGGGATGGAGGTGAGGCTGACTGGTCTGTAGTTCCCTGGGTTCTCCTTCTTGCCCTTTTTGAAGACTGGAGTGATGTTGGCTTTCCTTCAGTCCTCAGGCACTTTCCTGTTCTCCAGGACCTTTCAAAGACAATGTAGAGAGGCTCAGCAATGACATCTTTCAGCTCCCTCAGCACTTGTGGGTGCATCCCATCAGGGCCCATGGTTTTGTGGATGTCCAATTTGCTTAAAAGAGTTCCAACCCAATCCTCCTCGACCAAGGGAAGGTCTTCCTTTTGCCAGTCTTTCTCTCTTACCTCCAGGGACTGGTATGCCTGAGGGCCAGCCTTAGCAGTAAAGACTGAAGCAAAGAAGGCATTCAGTAACTCCGCCTTCTCTGTATCCTCTGTCACTAGGGCACCTACCTCTCTCGGTAGCAGGTCCTCATTTTCCCTAGTCTTCCATTTGCTGCTGATATAGCAATGTTTCATTAAGGGAACTGGAGGAACTGGAGATGGAGCTTTTCAGACAAAAAGATTAAGAAAGATGCCTGCGGAATGGTTGTGTGTGAAAATTTGTTTGGAAAAGTGGGGCTGCCTGAGCTGTCTGAGCATGAAAGAATGGTGGAGTGGCAAGGGAGAGGTAGACGCGAGTAGATTGGAAGGAAGAGAAGGCAGGTGGGACAGGATTTGACAAATGAGGGAGACTGACTTGCACACAGAGAAAAAATAGCTGAAGAAAGGTGTAAGGACTGGTGTAAGAGAAGTAGAGTTTGAGACTGTGGAAAAGAAGAGCAGGGGTGCAACAAGCAGGGATGGGGAAGAGAGAAGATTAGGACAGAGAAATTTTGAGGGAATGGGATAAAAGGGCTGAACTCTGAGAGGATGAAGTTTACTGGGTAACCTTTCTTTCAATATCTGGGATGTAGACAGCCCTGTATTAGATCATTCCAGGCTTTCAATTAAGACTAACTGGGAAATTCATTGAAAAGTGTGCTTTCTCATCATATGCCTCCCATACATAGGTGATCACCTGCTATTACTATAAGCCTAGCTAAAATAGCAGGGATCTGAAAAAGTTCACCTTGAGGTTCTAAGTGTGCTCATGGGTGCCATATAATGACATTTTGGAGAGGAAGTGGACTAGAGGAGTTCAGTATGCTTTTTAGAAAGCAAGCAACCACACAAATGGGGAAACTAAATTTGAAGAATTTTACTTAAACCACAAAGTCAAGCACTTGGAAGGTGAGAGGTGTCAATATTTGATTGCCTTTGGACTGTCAGTTCGTGGCTTTCAGGCATGAGTTATGGGACAGTATTCGGTTACAAAATCACAAGCTCTCTTACTAATAGGATCCTTATGTCATTTGTTACACAGTATAGATATATTGGTCTGGGAGTGGTACAAGATTATGGAATGGAAAGGCAGCTCTTTTGGCAATCAGACTTCTTATTTAGGCCACAGGCTTCTAAGCACTCATTATTCCTAACTATTGGCTCTGCATCATATGGATGAAGTACCACAGATGTAGTAATTTCCTTGTATTTTTGTAGTGTAGTTATTTTTCTTTGGCTTGTGTATCAACTTGACATTAGGCAGAGTTTTCTAGTGAATGCTTTTCAAAGTTTATTTGCAAGAATTAGAATGCATCCTTGTGAAATTTTCGTCTTTTTCTTCTTATTTAATAAGTCATTAAACCCATGATATATTTACTTAATTCTCTTGTGTAGTTAACTGTTCAGCCAAAATGTGCATTTGAAGCACATATTGCTTAACATTCTCACTAAGGATGTGAAATCAGTACTGTACAACACATATCTATCATAAATGTTCTCTCGGCTAACATTCATTCGTATTCTCAGCCTTGCCTTATTCCACTACAGATCGTGACTGGTATAATTCAGAGCTCATACTTTAGGCTCATGTTGCAATACGAGCAGAGAAAAATGTATCAGAAGACTGTCTGCACTCTCTCTCCCCCTTCATCCCCCATCTGACATCTGCTGTGGAACTGGAACAAACTAGTCTCAACAAACCTTTAGCTGTTTCTTATGTGAGATTTCCATTTTGGGAGAAAACAGATGCCTAATAAATAATCCTTGACATGAACTAACTGGTACTAAGCCTACTGAAGTTATTTGCAGCCTATTTATATTGGAATGTTTGATTAAAGTCTGCAAAAATAGTGAATTTAGTTTATATATACAGTATGTGTTTGTATATATAAGCACACATTTGCAGACATGTATGCACTGCATAGACAACCATTTATATATATATGTAGCGATGGAAGATTTTCTTTTTTAAAAACAGGAGATAGATGACATAGTTCAGCAGATATACTAAGTAATACAACCACTAAATATTTCAGCATCAGATGTTTGCAGTCTCTACCATTTAATCGCCACAAATGTCCTAGAGATGTAATTTGTGCCTTCATTTATCTCTACTGTATGTGATAGGACTTGACATCTGCTTCCAATTAGAATTTTGTTTCAGAGAACATATTCTTCCTTTTGCCATTTTGGTGTTTGTAATAGCTTTTGCACATCGTTCAAAAACTTCAAACAGGGAAATGGTAATATTTTTCATTTAGTAAATGTCAGCTATTGTTATTCTAAGCTGTTAAAGAAGCGCTTATCATAAGTATGATTTCTTTTAGAAGTACAATTTTTAAGATTTTATTTTGAGCAAACCTGAACTATTTGCCTTTAATTCAAAAGGAGTTTAAAATCAGCTGTGTTTGTAATGTACCTCTGCAAACTTAATAGCTGAGAAATTTAATATTATTTTGAAAGAAACAAAATTAAGTTTCAAAGACCAAAAATGAAGTCAATCATTTTTATTTTCTTTCAGGAGCTTGAATATGCTTGCTTTCTATATTTTTCTACTGATTCTGTTTTAATGAGTAAGCAAAATAGTGAATTTATTAGAAGCACATTCCCAGAGCATTATTCCATTTCCAGATATCTCTTGAAGTCCAAGCAATTTTGGCAGGAAAACAGTGCACGATACTAGAGATGGAGTTTTCTGCTACTTCACCTTTCCTTCTCCTCTGAGGATCATTAGCTGACCTTACCTTAAAATAGTTTTCTTTGTAGGTGACATGGCAATGCTCAAATTAAAAGAAGTTCCCTAACGATTGTTAGCCTTCTCTCAAATCCACATTTGTATTTGTCATGTGTAATGGAGGAAACCCATGCAGATGTGCCAGAAATTCAACTTTATTAGAATTTTTTTGTTGTTTTTTGTAGAAGGGAGCATAAATCAGGTTTCAGTAGCCTTTAGGCTGTAGATCTTCTGGATCACTCACTGTATGACTATGGTATGATCTTCCCTGAGCCGGTTTAACTGACTTAAGTGTTCTGTCAGTGAGTCTATTCCAAGTGGTGAGGATACCATTAAGAAGCAAAAGCTTTACATATGCTAAATGCAGAAGAACAGATACTGGGTTTTAGTATTTACTGGGCAGGAGCTTTTAATTGAACAGATTGCTCTGTTGTGGTCCTGGATTTCCTGCTCCTTTGCTTTAGCTGGCGGTGAGCAACTGCCAAGTGAGCCACAACAGAAAACGTTTTCCTTAGAAACTTTGCATTTTCAAAAACTGTGGGTGTTAGACACTAAGGCTGGTTTGTGATGTCAAAGAAGAGACTGACAGCCCTCCTGGCATGGGGGAATGGCACAAGGCCAGCACAGCTCAACGCAGCTTTCCTAGTTGCCCTGGCTGCAGGCCATGCCAGAGATAAGAGGATCCCAAGTTACTGTCAGCAAGTGGTGCGGGCTGGCTGCTCCTCGCGGGAGGGGGAGCCAAGTGCGGTAACAAGGCTGGCAGGGCAGGGCTGAGCCAGTAAGACCTCTTTCCTACAGGGCACAAGAGAGGGAGTTGGGCAGGCCCAGGACCGGCACCTGGGGTCTGCCCAGATCTCCACACAGGCCTGTGGGGATGAGGCACAGGCAGATCCATAGTGATGAAGCCAGGCTGAGGACAAGCCAGGAAGTTGATCCACAGGTCAGGAACAGGTCTGATGACGGTAACCAGGGTCAGATAGTGCCCAGTGGTCAACAGGCAGGACCACAGAGACAAGACTGGACTGATGTTAAGCTGGGAAGTAGTCCACGGATCAGGCTCTGGATCAATGATGTCCATGGCCAGGTACAGGCATGGTTGTGACAGAGCTGTAAGCAGGCACGCCTATGACCAATCCAGCTCAGACAGCTTCTGAAGGCCCTGAGCTGACCTGAAATGGGGCTCCTGGGCCCATGGGCAGGGGGGTGGATAGAAGTCCCAGGTGAGGCTGTTCAGGACTGTTAGCGCCTGTTAGTGCCCTCAGGCCCTGAGAGCTAAATTTTGATCGGATCTTGGAGAATATGGAATTGAAGAGAGAGGTAGGAGCATTTGAGTAAGACAAGTAAGCAGCAAAAAGGAAGAAAAGTTATATGTTAAGCTGGGCAACATGGGAGTGAGTCCCAGGAGAAGGGGCAGCTCTGTTAGGTGGAAAATCTTGCTGGAGATATTTTTTCATCAACAGTTTGGAGTCAGTTGGTTACACAGGAACCAGGCTGACCTTCCTTCTTTTCCCAGGTGCCATACAGCACATAGCCTTTTATTTGGAAGGCCCTGCTATCTCTTCCTCCTCTTCCATTTTGCCTTCCCCCAACCCTCCCTCCCAGGCTTCCCTGAAACTCCTGCTTCACTGCATTTTCTCCCTTCCTTCCTACTTCTGAGACCTCTGCTCCTTGAAACAAAGAGTCAGGAGAGTGGGGCCGAGGGGTATTCCAAGCTTCTTAGAGCAGCTATCATGCCAGTCAATTGCATCTGTCTGATTCCCAAGTTTGTATGTTCCAACCTCACAGCAGATGTGAGCCAAACTAGAAAGTTTGGCAGTTAAGTGGCTTCTACTCCTTGTCTTTGACACAGTCAAAATGTGTCGCACTAAGTGAATATGTCTTACCAGCTTAACCCTAATAGAGAAGAAATAGATCTGCTTTAAGTTATGCCTAGTAGTATATGTGAAGGACTTTGAGCAGGCTTCAGGGGCAGGGAATAGTTGCTTGCATTTTCTGGTCACAGTCTGTATCAGAACTTTCAGGACAGCTATGGGAGAGCATGCTGACTACTCACCAAATGAACATCATAATGCATTGACTGCAATGTGAGAAACATAATTGATGTGAGCCACCTGATGCACGTGACAGAGGAGAGAAACTTAAATTCTTGAGGTTAGCAGGCTGAAAGTATTGCCTTGCTCTATTGAGGTGTTAGGACTTGATTACTGTCGTGGGAAGGCGTCCTAGCTTGTTTAGTTGACAGTAAGAGGCTAGGTTAACATGAATTTATTCTGATTTTTAAGTGTCCCTGACTTTGCTAGGACTGCATTGCAGGCTTACTTTACTGAAATAAACCATGCAGTTGGTGGCACTGTTAATTAAATTATCTTCTGAACTTCTAGAAGCCTAATTTATATTTTACCAATTATATATTTTTTAGTATCTGTGCACTATAACAATGCAGTATAATTAGGAACAAGGACATGGAATTATGGAGGAAAATTGATGCTGGATAATATGAAAAATAATTTGAAAATTAAAAGCGTGGAATAAAATTTATTTTTCCTGCAAATGTTTTACTGTTATTTTCCACTCATTGAGATTAGTCTTTGAATATATCTGTTTTGGTTTTTGTCTTCTCTAGGCTTCTGGGCCCGTGATATAGGCAAGATGATTGGCCTGCAGCACCCCCTCGTACCTGTTCATCATCAGTATGTTGTGACATCAACTATCCCTGAAGTGAAAGCCCTAAAAACAGAATTGCCGGTGATTCGTGACTTACAAGGATCATATTATCTAAGGCAAGAAAGGGATGGTCTTTTATTTGGTCCATATGAAAGCAAGGAGAAGATGAAGCTACAGGACTCATGGGTAACAAATGGAGTCCCACCAGGTCATTAAGAACATTAAATCTTTAATCTTGATAAGCACTAGCACACATTTTAATGTGTATGAATCCCAGCCTGTCATACTGCCCTATGTGATGGAAAATTGAAAATTTTTGCAACGCGTGATTGCAGTACAGAAGCTTTTTTCCAAAGAATAGTTGTAACTCTAGTGATGAGTGAGTAGAAATAAAAATGTAACATAAAAAAAGCCCATTTGAAATAGGCACAAAATACACATCTACAACATAATCTTACCCTACTCTCTGAATTGGTGCCTGTGTGTTATGGTTAGATGCAGTCACCAAACCTGTGTTATGTAGCCTTTTGCAACTGAATAGGGATTTTTCTAAGCTACAGTTCTCTCCAGCATACTGACAGGGGCTCTGGATTTTTGGTGTTCCCCCAGAGATAGTGTGAATCGTAGAATCATAGAATCATAGGTTGGAAAAGATCTCTAAGATCGTCAAGTCCAACCATCTGCCCAACAACACCATGCCGTCTATGTGGCTGTCAAATAGGAACACAGGTGTAGCAAAGGAATGTCTCAGTCAAATGCTGTGCTTGGATAAAGTGCAAGAGAGCTGGAGATTTGTATAGAATTTTTGTACAAAAAAATACTAACTATGCCATACTGCTGCTTATTAAAACAAAACAAAAAATATGCGGTGTTGTATCTAGGTTCAAGCTTCCCATTCACTTCTAGACAGAAATTTATATTAAGTCAACGGTGTCGCTGTTTTAAAAAACATGTGTTTCCTAAGGAAGAACAATCAGCATTGTTAAGCTTTGGATTGCACTGTCACAGCTTCCTGAACTTACTGTCTCCAGTAGTGTCAAGTCCCTCTACAGAGTGATGTTTAGTAATGCTTAGAGCACAGACTAACGGGTGAAATATATCCAAGAATTCACTAAACACCATGGAAATCATAAGCTCATGCAGGCAGTATATTTCTTCCCCTCCCCAAACTGTTGAGAAAAATAAGTGGGTCTTACTAACATAGAAGGAAGTTTCTGTGTTTCTCCACTTCCTTTCTACTTCATTGTTGAATTTGCATGACCTTAGGGTTAAACAAATATGTATAAAGGACAGTGTAACTGCAGTGACAATAAACTTGATCCTGCAGGTAACTAGGGATTTTGCATGCCATTTTTCTTGTGTAGGATGGCAAAAGCTTGGACATATTCACTGATGAATTCCATGTAACTTTTATATATGTAGACTGCATAACTGTATTTAAAATGTAAGTATTTTCAGTGTAAGTAAGTATATAATAAGAATCAAATATTTGTGCAGGTTTTGGAAAAGAACTTTTTGAGTCTGATTTAGACAGAATAATGGAGTATGTTGAGGCTGCTATGGAAATGGTCCCCGTTCTGAAAAAAGCAGACATCGTAAACACAGTTGCAGGTCCTATCACCTATTCTCCAGACATTCTTCCTATGGTGGGACCACATCAGGGTGTCAGAAATTACTGGGTGGCTATTGGTTTCGGGTGAGTAAATTCTTCATGTCGACTTTTCTAAGTCATGTTACTAAGATGGCAGTCAGCTCAAGTTTTGCACATTTTTATGGGTTTGGAGATTGTTTTGCACATATTTTATGTAAAATGGAAGTAGCCTTAATTACCACTACCTACATAATAGAAGCTCATCCTTCTCTCTTACTGCTTCTTCATAACTCTCACTATTTTTTTCAGTCTGTTTCCTCCTTTTATTCTGGAGGCCAGTATCTCTGACACAGATACAAGCAGCAAGAAATGGGTAGTACTTGGTACTGTCTGTGCAGCAAGTTAAAGTCATAGCAGTGCTGGGTTTTGTAATACATTTTCCAGTTCATTTTATGTATTGCTTTGAATTACATTGTGTTCAAAAGTTGTTTGTGATGTGCAGAAACTGGTGTCCTGGAAGTTGGGCAAGAATGAATGGTACAGGGAGAACTTTTAGTATGAAGTATTAACTTTCAGGTGAAAAGTTGAAGGCATACTAAGCAGAAGGCATTGCCAGTTCCAGGGATACAAACATAGTAATGGTTCTGGCTGTTGAAGGCTGGGCTGAAAAACTGTTGGTGGGTGTTGGAGGAAAGCAAATTAGGAGGGCAGTGTGACAACAGGAATAAGTGTTTTGCTGGTGTGATTCTTATGCCCATTATGATATTTTCTTTGAAGGTTATTTACACTTTATCTAATCTGGCCACACTGAAGTCAGTGGTAAAACTCTTAGTGACTTCTCTTTAGTTGTCTTAGTTTGACCATTTATTGAAGATAGATAGAATGAACTGAATAGAATTCCAGGCACATGTTATTGAACACACTCTGTTTATATTGGTTTTCCAGTTGCCTAATCTGCTGTTCAAAATCCAGCACAGCTTTTTCCAGTTTTCTTTCAGTCCAAATCAAACAAACCCTCAGATCATAAGATAAGGCAATATCACTAATGTGCTTTCCGAGGCCCACAAAATAAAAAGGTTTGGTAATTTTGCAATGATTCATTGTGAAAGGTGTTCACCTTTGCTGCTTGGATTTAAAGAAAAAATATTGTTATCTTTTAGTAACATTTGCAGAACTTACAGTTACAAAAGTGGTTTGCCTAGTTCTTGTTCACCAAAAAGTCTGTTTAAGTTCATTACTCTGTTGCCAGACGTTGGAGCTTGTTTTCCTTCATTGGTGTCAGTGGGAGCAGAATCAAAGTTCTGTATAGGAAGACCAGTGTTGTATGTTTAAGTTTCTTTAAACAACTTATTTCAAGAATTTGATTAATTTATAAATGTTTACACACAGGTCACAGTTATGGTGCTGTCATTGGATTGCTTTGTCTGCTTTTCAGGGACGTTTGACTCTCTGTTCTATGCTTCTGGGTCACTGCAGTGTTTCTACCGGTGTTGTAATTTTTTGTGTGCATTAGCAAACCCTTATCTCATAGTCAACTAGCAGGGACATTGTGACAGAGGACTTAATGCTGTTAGTTTAGAGGATTTTTATTATCTAAAACTAGCAGCTTGCTAGGCATTTTAATGTGAAAAGAAGTTAATAAGTATAGTTAGCAGAGCTTGTAGCACTGTTTATTATTAAGGTTGCTCAGTGCTTCCCATTTTCAGTTACTTATAGCTTTGAAAATGTTAACAAGAGTAGGCTATAATTTTATTTAGAAAAGTTAAAGTCAAAGCAGTGTAATCATTCCAAAGAACGAGGTTACTGGGAGGCATGTTGTTTTGCTGTGTTAAGGTTTTTGCGGTGAAGACTTTATTTAGAAAAGCTCTCATCTCTCCATTTTCTGATAACGAACTTAACAATTGGCAGAAGTGACCTTTGTCCCAAAGATAGCATTTCTGCCATTCTTCACAACATCTATCCATGAGGCCTGTTGCCAAGCCTTTATAAATGTTACAGCTCTTAAACACGTAGTAGAGACTCATTAAATCTTGCACTAAGATTCTTGCATTCTGCATACATGGTATTGCACAGCCAGAGACTGAGCAGGAGTTTTGATGCAGAAATGGGATAGATAAATGACTAAACCTGGGACAAAGACAAGGGAAAAGGGACCATGGTGTGCAGGGACTCAGATTTCCTAGGAAAAGGAATGGAATGAGTCGCAAATCAGGGAGAAGGAAGGACTCATAAACAAGTAAGAAACAATGGTAGGACAGGGACAATGGAGAAGATAATCTGGCCGGGATTGGAAGGAGAGAAGAAAAACAGAGAAGGGCAGTCTGTGTTCATTAAGGAAATTTTCACCAGATCCTCATATGAAGACTTGAGATTCCTAAACTGTACCGCTCTTTACAGCTACTTGTGATGTCCTATCCCTGCACAGCATGTGTTTCATTCTTGTGTAGCAGAACTGCAGTGGACATATTAATACAATCAGCTCCCCATTATGTGAGGTAATGAGGGATTTGGGCACCCTGTGAAGTTTAACATCTCTGGTAATGTAGGCCCAGCTAGGAGCACCAAAATCAACTGGTTGAGCAGAGTCAGTGCTGCAAAGCTCTGTGGAGTGTAGAGACCACTCAACACAGGCACAATGCTGTATCTGTAGTAGCAACTCCACATTGCAGGGCAGCCTCCCTGGCTGTCTTGCCCTTAGGGTTACGCTGCCATCAGCTCGACAGTCTTCAGCTGAAGCTCAAACACTTTGTTGTGTTTGGTCTGTGACCACCCACAGTCATGCAGTGGTCTCTGTGCTGTGTTACCCTCTGCTTTTGGCTGCAGTGAGTTGTGCGAGGAGACTTAAAGTGGCTAAAACTTCTGGCGCTGTTCTTGAAGGCATCATAGCTGTGGTCACAAAACTTATACCTATGAATAACTAAGAGCTGCTGAATTAAATAAAAACCAGCAACAGCTGACTCTCCTGTAGTACTTGCAGAGTGGCAGTTTACAAGCACTCATCGTTACTGCATCAGCTGTGTGACAGAAGCTTGTGCTGAGAGTCTGAAGATTTGTGCTGAACAGCCTAAAGGAGTGTGTTTGGCAGAATTACTTTGTGTACTCAGCTGTTTGATATTACTGTTTTATTTAAATTAATAAGTAAGTTACGGATAAACCCCCATCATATCAAAGTAATCTCTGGAGTCATGAAGTCAGGTGTTATACAAGTGCCAGAACTATGTTGTTTGTGTAATCTAAATTCATTCTTCTTATGCATAGCTTTAGAATTAAATGATTACATTTTTTTTTCCCATCAGATCCTTGCCTTTTTAATTGAGGACATAGAATTCAGAATGCAAAGTCGATGAGCAGCAATTCAAGTTTGTTTTAGCTTCACTATTCAGTGTGAGCATTTGTGATTCAATTGCTGCATGCTGATCTAAACTTGGTTTTGGGCAGACTTACTATTTCTTCAAGGATTTCGCTGTTGTGCTCATTGGACCATTTTATAAATAACTAAGAATTTATTTTCACATCTTCCCTAGACAGAAAGCTATTTTGACAGTTTTTTTTTTTAGACATGGCAAACTAATTCATTGAGATATTAAAAAAAAAGTTTTAAATCATTTGGTATTAATAATTATTTGTCATTAAATGTTTCAGTGTCAAACCTGAGGTGCCTGAAATTTAGCACTGCGTGGTACTGTTTGGCCACATGTAGAACTGAGTAGCAACATACACATATAGTAGCACAACGAAGTTCCTTGTCTCTAGTTGTCCAGTTCAGGCACCATGCAGGAGCACATTTCACACACAGTTTATTCCCTATGGCAGTCAAGATGTCAAGCATTTTGAAAGTTAGAATTACGTACAAAATGTTCAAGTAAGGAAACCTTAAATCTATCACTTCATAATCTTTGAGCACCTACCTTTGCTGTGTGGTGTGGTTCCTTTAATGCAGGTTTCTGATGAGATCACCTCTATAGTCTGATCCTTGACACACTCATTATGTAGAAACAGGGCAGGCTTTTGCTACAGACTGGTAGCGAAAAAATTCTACATGTTCATTTTGTTAGCTTAAGCTTTCTGGAACCAGTTCTTTTTGTAGTTGTAGTGGAGAACAGAGAAGGTAAATCAGGTGAGAAAAGGCAGCTCTCAAACTCTGACACCACTGCAAATAAGTCTTCTAGTTTTATCTCCAGTTCCTCTACATTCCCTCGTTTTCTGTGGAGCAATAGAAGAAGTATTACTGGTGTTTCAACTTCTTTAAAGCTCTCTCAGTAGTGTTGTCTCCTGACTTCTGCTGTTGCTCTTGCCACTGTAATGTAAGTGCTCAGTGTAGCTGGTAGAATGTCTCAGTCTGGTTTTCAAATCTGAGTCTGGTTTAATCAAACCTAATTGAAAAAGAAGAGGTATTCTGTGACTAGAAAGTGTATTTTATAGATATCTGAAGTTTGAGAACTTTCTTTAGTAGGAATTGTTGAAGAGTTCTCATGTCTGTGAACTTCAGACAAAGAAAGTGCTTGCTGGAATCTCAAGCACCACAATGCTGCTCCATTAGCAATGGAGTTCTGCTGCTGACAGTGAGGCAGTAGAAATATCTGTCAATAAAGCATGTAATCTTGGAAAACAAGACAAAACAGAACAAACAAAAAAACCCACACAAAACAAAACAAACAAAACCAGAGGGAAATATTTAACACACGTTAGGGTATGTATTAGTAGTATATGGTAGTACTGATTTTTAAAAACAAAACAAAAAAGACTTGGCACTGCAGGACTGTTTTTCCTGTTTTTAAGGTATGGCATTATACATGCTGGTGGCATAGGAAAGTACCTCAGTGACTGGATCCTTGAGGGGGAACCTCCATTTGACCTGATAGAATTAGATCCCAACCGCTATGGAAAGTGGACCACCGTGGAATACACAGCAGCCAAAGCAAGGGAATCTTATGGTTTTAATAACATTGGTAAGAAGGTATTTTTAAAAATACATTTGTATTCCAGCAAAGCCTGCCTCTAGATTTCTCTGTTCATATACATGTACTCTATCTTGGTTATGATCTTAGTGTGCCATGGTTTTTGGTTTGGGCTTTTTTTTCCCCCTCTAGTTGGTTACCCTAAAGAAGAAAGATTTGCTGGGAGACCAACAGAGAGAACCAGTGGGCTGTATGATTTGCTGAAGTCAAAATGTTCTATGGGCTTTCATGCAGGATGGGAGCAACCTCATTGGTTCTACAAACCTGGAGATGAGCCTGGATACAAGTAAATGAAAGATAATTTTCTTTTTTCTGATAAATCGTCATGATAGCAAGGGCCAGCTGAATTAAATTTAATGAGAAGCATACTTTTATCATTCATTTCTGCTAAAGGTGTATATTAGGTAGATCTTCCATTCTTGTTGTTTCCATAGTTTAGAATCCATTTCATTCTGACAATGCAGACATTTCAAAACACACATTGAGGTATTCTGTAACTCTTCTGGGTTTGGGGTATCAGGGAGCAGCCTAGCTCAAGGAAGAGGTTAGAGAACAATTTGTTCATTATAGATTTGTATTTTTCTTCCTTTCTTATTATTTGATTATTTGTTTACATGATAATGGTCATTCCTCTCTGTGTAATTCTCAGGAAAGGAGAATCCAAATCTATCTTTCTTTCTTTTTTTTTCCTCTGAGCCTGCCCACCTAGTTACCTGCTTGCATCAGGGAGCGTCCAGCAAATGTTTTCCACAGGAATACTAGAGTCCCAATCTAAATGAGGCTCATAAAGGAAGAAAGAGACACACTTCGTTGTTCAGAAATAAAGCCTTTGACACCTTAAACTCAAATAAATGATTCAGCAACAAAGTATGCTGTAAATTTACACGACAGACTACTAGTTCTTCTAACATTTGAACAGTTCACAGTTTATTGTACAAAAAGGTTGATAAAATATCAACCCGTATCTTTCTCTGTTGTTAAAGGATTATAATAATTAAGCTATGTTACACCAAGGAAAATATTGGGTAAGCTACCTACAATTAAGAAAGTGTATCTCTCTTGAATGATTATTAAGCTGAAGAAACTGAAGACTACATTTTGCTGAAAAGAGCACAAGATTTCCCAATTGTGTTTTATGTGTGTAAATGCTCTGTTTCAGACCCAGTTTTCGGCGCACAAATTGGTTTGACCCTGTGGGTCGTGAGTATAAACAGGTTATGGAAAAAGTTGGTGTGATTGACCTGTCACCATTTGGCAAGTTTAAAGTAAAAGGCACAGATGCTGTTAAGCTGCTGGATCATCTATTTGCAAATGTTGTTCCAAAGGTAAATGGGACAGTGATAACTGTTTTAATGTAGGACTTAGACAAGCAAGATCTCTTTCAGAAGTGGAAAATGAAGCATAATATTATTGCTGTATCTTTCAGATGGCAAACACTCATATCCTTTGTAGATATTGCTGTGTCAGGAGATGTATTTCATTCAGTTAAGAGCGCGAACAGTGGAGTTTATACTAGAGCAGCCCCAAGTAGAAGTATCTTTTGACATGGATCATTGAATCATAGAATGGTTAAGGCTGGAAATGACCTCTGGAGATCATCTTGTCGAATCTCCTGTTCAAGCAGGTTGTCTGGAGCTCATTGCCTAGGACTATATCCAGATGGCTTTTGAGTATCTCCAAGGATGGAGACTCCACCAGCTCTGTGGGCAACCTGTTCCTATGCTCAGACACCTCTACAGTAAAAAAGTGTTTCCTTACATTCAGACAGAGCCTCCCATGTTTGAAATCTTTGTCTAATGAAGTCCAAGTGAATCTCACCTGGAATTCTTTTATAGTAGTAAGTAGTAGAATAGCTTGGCAGCTGCTTCCCTGAAGCTGTGCTGTACTGTGGCAGCTTGAGGCAGCAGAGCAAGGAAAGGTGCTCATGCATGGATGTTGTATTCTTCCTGAATGCCCAATGGAACAGTTCTGTTGTGTTTTTTTTTTTCAAATGTGATCCATGCTTGTTTTCCACCCACTCATACTGACTCAGTTTTATATCTGGCTGACTGGAGCAGGGAGGCTTGCAAATATTCAGAATATTCAGCTTTCAGCTCACGCCTGCCCTTTCTCCACAAGTGAGGCTGCTCAGAGACCCTCAGAATGTGATTCTGTTTTCAAAAATGGCGTACTGTGACACACTACCCCAGGTTTCTTATTCTTGGTTCTCAGTTTATGGTAGTGCTCCACGAGTCGCTTGATTTTCCTACTTCGTCAACCACTCTTATGCAGTGTCTTTAACTTCAGAGATATACCTCCAGCAAGCAGATGGTTTCTTTTTGAAGGCTATAGAAACAGGGTTGCTCATTTCAGCACAGAATTTCATTAAGTTTTTGCTGCAGGTGATAGTTTTAGCTGCTTCAGACACCAGAGGGAGGGAACATAGGGCAACAGTAAGTACACTGAGACTATAGGTATGAAGGTAGATAACTTCTTCTCAAAGGTCAGAGCCAACTGAATGGGAAGGCTGTACACAAGAATGGTGTCCTATGGGTGTAGGACAAAGAAGAACCTGAATTGCCAGGTAGTCGTATTTTTTACTGCTTTAATTCCGTCATAGCGAGAGAGATTATAAATTTGTCTTCTTTCCAGTTTGGGGTAGAGCTGGAGTAACTGTCATCAGTGGGCGTGAATAGCACTTGCTGAATATATTTATGTGGTGGTGGGAAAGCAACATTAAACAGGAAATTATGAGAACAAAGTGAGTGCTTTCTGTGACATTTAGTCAGTGTTGCTAAGGGGAAAAAGAAAGATAGCAAAATGGAATTAATAGTTTATGTGTCCACTTAAAAATGCAGTATTCACAACAGTTGATTATTTAAGCTGTCTGATTTTTGGTACCACTCATGCTTGTCTGCATCATAAAACAATTCAGGGAAGTTACTGGAGATGTGTGACAAGATGTGTGACAACCAGGTTGAGTGTGACTACCGTCAGATCCTGAAAATTCAGTTATATGCCTGTAATATGCCAGTAGCTATATTAATGTAATATGACCTTGGAAAAGAATGTTAATAGCTGCAATATTTATTGAAAAAGAATGTTTATGTCAATAACAAGTAGAATTTTTTATTCTGATGATCAGAGAACAAACTAAAATTGATTGTGTTTGCATTGAAAATGCATTCTTTAATCAAATGTATCTTAAGAACACCTTGTGTAATACACAATTATTAAATATTTATAAAGGTCTTGATTTATCTCATTTCAAAAATTTCAATTTTTTTCTATGAAGAAAAATGTGAACTTTCCACTGTAAAAGTTAAGCTTGGCAAATTGTGTATCTGTCTGCTCTTCTATGGTATAGAAAAACAAACATAAAGTCATTGTTCTTTCAAGTAAAGACATATTTCCATACATTTTGTAATGTTTAAGATTTCAAAGGTTTTATTTTGTATTCTTAGTAATTGCAAATTTTACTCTGTAGGTGGGTTCCACAAATATAAGCCATATGTTAACACCGAGAGGAAAAGTTTATGCTGAGCTAACAGTCTCTCAACCATATCCTGGAGAATTTATGCTTGTAACTGGCTCAGGGTCAGAACTCCATGATCTGAGGTTAGTTCATTTTTGATACAGTAAGTACACAGTGCTGGACAGTCACATTAATATAGAAACCTCTTTACTAGGTGCCAAATTCTTAATTATTACTGAACAAACCTTTTGCTAGGTTCAGGAGAATTCTACTTCGTTGTTGATTTTGGTTTCTTAGAAACTTGGTTGAGTTGAATCCTGCAGCATAAGCAGTTTTATATTGGATTATTGTTGGTGGAAAAAGATGGAGAATTTACTGATAGTTATGTAATGTACTTTAATGGAGATAGTTCTTGTTTTGTTGTTCAACCTGTTTGTGTTGGCATTGTATGATGGAACACAGCATGGTTGTTCCTTTCTAGTGTTTTCTCTTACGCAAAAAAGAAAATTGGCTTTAAACATAGATGACCCCACAGGTACTGACCTGGTCAATACAGATCGGTAGTGCAGTCTTCCTGATAGGATGATAGCATCATCTTCTTTGGGCTCTGGGGTCACAAAGCAAAATGACAGAAAGCAAGGAGATAGAAGCAGTTGCAAAATGGCTTCATCAGAATGGGTTTCATAGATGAGCATTGGGAGTGACATTTCTAGTGCTGTAAGTCGCTGTACCTACACACTAAGAAAAAGAATTTTTCTCAGTGGAGATTGCTGATAAATCAGTTATTCAAAGTGAATTAACACATAAAAGACTGAAATTTCCTACCCTGACACAAGGTGAGTCATGTACTGTTTCATAACAGTACCACAGGAATCAGTAGCACCATTGGCACATTCAGGAACCAAGTGGCAGAACCAGACCTAATGCATTTACTCCTACAGGATTTCAGCAGTCCTGTTTGGTACTCCTCAATGCCTGAGATCTTTTAACACTGCTTAACAAAGTAGTACTTTATAAGATTTTAGATATAGTCCTTTCACTTATTTTGTGAGCTTCCTGAAAGACAATGCCCAGGTGATGTTTTTGATAAGGTCAAAACTCAAAACTGAACTTTCTGCCAATACTTTAAATATTGTATTCAGGAAGGAACAAGCCTAGTCTTACATTTCTGTTGACAGAGGAATTTATTTTGAGATTTGTTACATTCATTGTGTTTATTCCTTACTCTTTTTGTATGTTGACTGTTTACTAACACGTTGTGGATCCAAAGGCAAATCTGTGCTCAGTGCTATGAAGACAACTCCTTTCTTGTATCTTGAAAATCCTGTTCCACCCACTTAAATTCTCTCCTTAGCTGGTTGTATCCCAGATGCCTGTGTTCCTATACCAGTATCTCATGAGAAAACACTGTTTAACATCAATGGTGGATTTGAATATCGTGTGTAGCATGTACTTCCATTGGTTTTGAGAAGGTGTGTGAGAAGGCACTGGGAGCTGCTGGGCAGATGAACACTAGCAAAAAACTGTTCCTTTTTAATCTTTATCCAAATCAGTTATTTTACTCAAAAAAATTAACATCACTGTCGTGTTTTACATATGCAGATGGATAGAAGAGGAAGTAACGAGAGGTAGATATGAAGTTGAAATAGAAAACATGACAGATGAGATGGGAGTACTTGGTGTAGCAGGTCCATATGCCCGACAAATCCTCCAGAAGTTGACAAGTGAGGATCTGAGTGATGGTTCATTTAAGTTTCTCCAGTCTAGACATTTGAAACTTGCTGGCATTGCTGTTACTGCCATTAGGATATCGTACACAGGTAAGCAAGAGAGAAAACAAACTCTTAAGGAAAGAGTCAATAAATAAAATATTAAGTGTAACTAAAATTATGTTGAAAAATAAATCTCATCATGTATTCATAAGCAGTAGGTTAATCACATTTTATGTATAAATGTGTGAGGAAATGCAGTACATTGATTTTCACACGTGATCTGGTCAGACTCTGTGCTGAGTTTTCCAAGACCTTTTTCTCTAGACTACCTTACAGTGTAAATACTTATTTTACAGAACAAAAGGCCAGTTCTGATAACTTCTGTGGTATTTGCTGCAAAACCATCGTCAAGAGTTGTTTTTGGATTACCATATATTAGTGTTTCTCCAGTGCCTTGAAAACATAACACTGTAATGATGAGTATTTGTTTTTCTCAGTTATTTTGTATTTTTATTTATTTTTATGTCTTTCCCTATTGCAATGGACTGAATTCAGACCATTCTGAAGCAGCTGAAGTCCTTCCTTTCTGTTGTACTAAATATGATACAATATACTCATTTTATGCTTACTTACACTCAGTTACATTTGCTGTTCATTTGCCAGGTCATCATCTGTTTATAATGCCCTGAAACTTCACCTCTCATTGTGACTTCGCTACATGACCTTTTCTGGTCACTTATTCTGATTATTCCTATCCCCCTCGCCCACCTGCCCCGATTTCAGTTAACAGTTTAAATGAGAATAATAGTACCACTGCTTAAGATCTAGGGCATGATTCATCTGGTGGCTCTTGCAGGGGATTAGACTTGATACATATGATTGCAGAATTGACCCTAGAATGTGAATTAACACTTACAGCATTGATCTGCACTTTTTACCAAGAATAGGATTGTGTTTATTAGGATTGCTTCATTGTTGAGCTGATGAAACCGTTAATCTTGTTTGTATAACAGGTGAATTGGGCTGGGAGCTGTATCATAGAAAAGAAGATTCTGTAGCTCTTTACAGTGCAATCATGGAAGCTGGCCAAAAAGAGGGAATTGACAACTTCGGAACATACGCTCTGAACGCTTTAAGGCTGGAAAAGGGTTTCCGAGCCTGGGGGGCAGAGGTCAGGAAATATATAACTTCTTTATTGTTCTTTCTGTTTATTTTCTTTATTTCATTATGGCTATATAGCTTTTAGTCAGATAGTATTTGTTCCAGTTTGTCCCTTTAGCATGAAAAGAAAATTTACCTTGAGGAGGAACAGCTGCTGTAATTCTGAAAGTTGTCTTTACTAAATATAAATAACTAGTATACTCCATTGCACTTCTGGCAAAGAGATACTTATTTTGATTCACTGATGCTTTTCCCTCTTGTGTATAACAAAATTATGAGGGTTTTGCTGAGCTCTAATGTTTTGAAATCAAGGATTTGGCTGTTAGATTCTGAAAATGTTTTGCATCTGTAGTAACTATGTCATGAGAGGCCAATTATTCTTGCTTCATAATGTATTTGGAAGTTTTTAATTTCCTGTTAGCATGTTTCTGCCAAATTTACTCACTCACAGTATAGGTCTACTGAGGGGGCCTAGAGAATTTGGGGAAAATCAGTATCATTTCTGCTTACCTGGAATTTTTCCTAATTGCTTTGGAAAAGAAAGAACTTTTGAAAAGGAAGGTGAAATGGTGTGCATTTAGGGGTCCTTTTCCTTTGCCCAGTGGTAGCTATTTTCATTCTGCTTCAAATGCTGCCTTATAAATCATTCCCCCTACACCTAATGGGAAAGTGGTAAACAAAATTGGCTTTGTGTTTTATTTTCCTCTCCAGCTAAGGCATTCTCCTGTCTAACAATTAATGTGCATACCTCAGTTATTCAGTCTTCTGCAGGTACCATTCTGCTTTGACACAAAGTCTTGTTTCTTACTGAAATGTGTGTTTACTTTGCATATTGAAACTCAGATGAATGGTTTACATATCTATACTTTGTATTGAGTGTGATAGTAGATATTCTGTTGAAATCACATATTGGAAGCATACAGTGTATTCAAATGGAAGTTCCACAGGAGTAAGTAGAAGGCTGCAGGGAATAACTAAATAAATACCGCCTCCCCCCTTCAACCCGAAAGCTGTGATAGTCCATCATGTACGGATGATGAATTTACTTTTTCATTAACAGATGAACTGTGACACTAATCCCTTGGAAGCTGGACTAGAATACTTTGTAAAGCTGAACAAGGTATGTCTTATTATTTTCAAAGTGTTCTGTTATCCGCAAGATTATTCCTTGAAGTGTTCAAAAAGTAAAATTTAATTATCTGTATAATACAGTAGGTTTAGAAAATGAACCAAGCAACATTTTTTCGCTGTGTATAAATAATTTATTAAATACCCATTTGTTTAAAATAAAGTTTAATATTTTCACATGTTTCTTGCTAACAAAATTATACGTTAGGTCAGGTAGTTGCAAATATTTAATGTTATCTACATGAAAATTAACCTTTTGTGATTTATTTTCATAGATAAATTTGAGTCATGCTTTTGTAAACATGTAGTGTCTATATACAAACTGAACAAGCCTGTTCATATTGTGAAAACATTTTACCTGCTTGTTCTTATTAAAGGAGTTGTCTGTAGGATCATTTTCACTGGCTACCACTCTGGTACAGCAATTACTGAAAAAAACAACAGATTTTTCAGAAGAGCTGCTGACTGATAACTTGGATATGAGTCAAATACAAGTAAAATTAATATCTTAGTTAAAAAAATAATAACAATTAGTTATTCATAGAATTTCTGAAGAGGTCCTGTGCTCACAACTTGTTCCTGCCTGATTTAAAGCTTAGAGAATGGGACTGGTTGAATTTAAATATGCACTAAAAATGAATTTTCATTCATGTTACTCTTTTATCAGCATCCCTGTTTGTTTGTATTCATATTTTAGCAAATCAAGCTCTGTTATAGTACAATAGATACAGAAATTGTTTGTTATTCTCTGTTCTGGTCCAAATGAAACCCACACCAAGTGTCCTAGCTCTGTCAAATAGAGGACCTTTCCATGAAATGCGGTGAAATCATTTCCTGTGCAGCTCTAATTAGCTATCTGTTGCTACCAGTTAGCCCATCAACTCAAGCAACCGTTGCCTGCACAGTGGACGTGAAGTTTCTAATGTAAAAAAACAGGTCCTATACGTTTCAGGTTAAGGTGCCTTAAATGATGGGATATTTCTGACTTAATCTTTTGCCTCAGTTTCTCATCTATAAACCAGAGAAAGTGCCAACGTTTTTACTCAGGGGAGATCAAGAAGAAAAAGTATGTTTGTGAGACATTTCATCTTTCAATTATATAATATGATACTGGGACAAATTATCTTCTAATTTATATTCCCTTTATACCTGAAAGGGTAATGAATCAGAGAATAAATGATCCTTGACATTTTTTTCCATGTTATGTGGAGGCACTATGGAACTGATGGAAGGAATCCCGAACTTTAAATTACAGCTCCAAATAAAAGGCAAATATTAAACTTTGGGTAGGCAAGAATTACAGAAGCATGTTAAACCTAATAAGGTGCTTTTATCTTTATGGGACAATTTCATCAACAGTAACAGGGATGAACCCACTCTCCAGCTGTTGAATCCATCTATAGATGTTAAAGTTCTTCAACCTGTACAGGATTGAAAAAACATTCATTTTTATTGTAATCTAACATCAGTGTGTGCTCTAGCATGAAATACAGGTTCTACACTTGTTTTTGCCCAACTATGAAGCTCATCCAGTGGAAGGTAAGGTGCTCTCAAGGATGTCAATGGCAGTTCGTATATGTAGTGGAGTTACAGCTGTCTCCATTGGGTACTGTAATTTTGCCCTAATCAGATAAAGTGACACATGGAAGGGAAGTACAGAATCTTATGGAACAGGATGATGTTGTATTTACTCATCAAGGACTTTACCATCTTCAGGAGTGTATTAGCAGGATTATGGGAGAATGCAATGAAAAAGGTTACTGTTGCTAGTTTTTCTTTCCACTTCCATTTGATACATTTGTTTGTTTGGGGGTTTTTTGTTCTTTTTTTTTTTTCATGTAAGCAAGAAAGCAGCCATAAGCAGGGAAAGCTGTTGATTTTCAAGATGCCGACGCAGAACATGCAAAGGCATTAAAGCAAATGGAGCACTTGATTCTTTGTTGCTCTGCGCAGTTCTCTGCATGGTTGAAATGCAGGGTTGGAACAGCTCTCTGAGGCAGATACTCACCTTGTAGATGAATGGGCATGGAATGACTCTCCAGCATAGGTGCAGGATGTCAGCCTAAAACACTTGCCAGTTTTGCTGAACTAATGTGAAAAAGGAGACAGTCTATGTTTATTTATTGACTCAAATGAGGGCAGTTGTCACTGTATGTTGACACTGCAGAGGTACCTGAGCTAATTCAGATAATGGATGGGATCTAAACACTGTAGCATGAAGTGCAATGTGAGATTATTTACTCTGCTGGACAGCTTGGGGCTGTAAGTCCCAATTCCATGTCTCTGGTTTTAGTGTCTTTCTGGCATGGCATAGACCTTAGTATTCCTGAGAGGCCACCGTGATTGAAGACAAGCAAAATGCTGTGTTATCATCTGCTCCTGTTGTTAAGGAAACTTTTTGCAAAAAAAGAGCAAACATGATACAAACTACAAGCAACAGATACAAAAATCTGTTTGACATCTTAGTCTGTAGGGTTACTGACAGGGATTGTTCCTTTAAGCATGCGCCCCCAGCTGGGGAAAGTGCTGATTTCTGTGTAAATTAGAGTGCTGCTTACCCTGGAACAAGAAGCTGAAATAGCTCACTAAATGGACAAAAAGAATTCAGCATAAGTGAATTTGGAGTGATGTGTCACGGAAAATGTAAACAGTTTCTAAACAGATTAAAGTGAATGAACAACCAAATGCCAGTGAAGGTAATACAACCAAGAAGTATTTTAATTTCCATGATAGGGCATTCAAATATCTGGGAAATAAATACGTAAATTCCCAATAAAATCCTCATGTTTCTCTGTGTTTATAGAATTTAGTGTATGCATCATCTTCAGGTACATATGGACTAGTAATTTTGTTGTGAGGAGTAACAGGAGAAACTGTTAAAAGCTGAAGTTGACTTTTTTTTTTTCCCCTCAGTCTATTAAACTGTAGCATGGCAATAAGTAAACTTGTTACCTCAAGATTTCTGTGGAAACTTTCATTTTATCATTAAGGCTGAAGAGATGGTATTGTTCTAGGTGGTTTCCTCTAAACAGTGCTTGATAATCCTTTTTTCTCTAATGTTGGTGTTAGTTGCTTCCTTGCACAGATGAGCAGGATGGGCTGTGATTAAACCAACATGGAGGGACAGTACCAATTAATTTCTAAATTAGAGTATACATTATCTTCATAAATTCATGACAAAATCTGTCTGGTTTAGGGATATGATTTTCTTTAATATCTGTTGTCTTTCTTGTGTTTGTTCCATTGGTCTTACATTTAGTAAGTTAGATAAGTAGTTAGATAGCCTCATTCACTAATATATTCATCTCATGAATAAGCACCCTGCTCTTAAATATTCAATAGAGTCCTCATAGTGTTTGTGGCAGGAAATTCACATAGTATCTTTCAAGAAGAAGAAGCTGCAATTCTTTTTTCTCAACATCTTAGAATATATTTTTAGTTCTGCTGCACATTGGAACTGTCTCAGGTTCAAGTGGTTAAAGATATAGTATATCACCTCTGAATACTTTCTATTTTTCAGAACCCTGGTTTACATTTCATGGCTTTTTCAAATATTACTGTAGAAAAAGATAAGCAAATCACCAGATATTTGTTTACTCCAGACCATTGTTCTGTGGCAGAATCAACTACATCTGTGTTTACCTTGCCATATGAATAAAAATTTCATGTGTGATATTACAAAGACACAGAATCACAGAATCACAGAATAGTAGGGGTTGGAAGGGACCTCTGTGGGTCATCTAGTCCAACCCTCCTGCCGAAGCAGGGTCACCTACAGCAGGCTGCACAGGACCTTGTCCAGGCGGGTCTTGAATATCTCCAGAGAAGGAGACTCCACAACCTCCCTGGGCAGCCTGTTCCAGTGCTCCGTCACCCTCAGAGGGAAGAAGTTCTTCCTCATGTTCAGACGGAACTTCCTGTGCTTCAGTTTGTGCCCATTGCCCCTTGTCCTGTCACTGGGCACCACTGAAAAGAGCTTGTCCCCATCCTCCTGACACCCACCCTTCAGATATTTGTAGGCATTTATAAGGTCCCCTCGCAGCCTTCTCTTCTTCAGGCTGAACAAGCCCAGTTCCCTCAACCTCTCCTCGTAGGGGAGATGTTCCAGTCCCCTCATCATCCTCGTAGCCGTCCGCTGGACTCTCTCCAGTAGCTCTTCATCTTTCTTGAAGTGGGGAGCCCAGAACTGGACACAGTACTCTAGATAAGACCTCTCAGTCCTGAAGATCCCACAGTCTCCCTGGGCAGTCCATTCTAATGATTCGCAGTCCTTGTGTTAGAAAATGTTTTCTTGATATACTTTAAACTTATCACTGATTATTATGTTCACTAATGACAAACAGAAAAAAAATCTATTTCAGAAGCTGCTTGCGTCTTCAAAGCCTGCTAGCATGCGCCTTGTCTGTGTTCTGAATTGGTTGATTATTGTTAGCTGATTGAATACTCTTAAAACAGCCTCATTTTCTCCTGAGCACAATAGCACATAAGTTCCAGTAAAACTTCGTGCTAGAGTGAAACATTTCCATGTCAATTTGGGTAGCTGACAGAAACGAACTCTTGCAGAAGGGTTTTCCATGTGAACCCAATAGTGCCACCAGTCATCAAGAGCACACAGCTGCAAAATTCTGTAGTGAACCGTTTGCAGGCTTGTGTCTTGGTTTGCTGTATCCAAGACTGCCATCTCCTGGACAGTCCCTCTGCAGCAGCAGCTCACTGCGATTTGGGAAGAGAATGCAGTAGATGATGGAAACCCTTTGGGACTCTGATCTAGGGCGCTCTTCCAGGCCGAGATCCGAGTGCTTAGCTGAGATTTAGTGTTTGTTTCCACTAGGAGGAAACACTGTTTTCAGACACAGTGTTTCTTTGTTGCAGCCCTGTTAATTTACTGGGACAGTTTCTTTGTTCTCCCTTCCAAGCTTTTTCCCAGATTATACAGTAACCAGAATCTCTTTAACTTCACTTTTTCTTAGGTCTACTCTACCAGCACTTTTT